TTGGACTCTCAAACCCATCAAACACATCAAAGTCATGCTGCTGCTAGTGGCTCCTGCACCCACCCCTCAGGGCTGGGGGACATGTGCACGACTGGAGCTGGGCTGCTCACTGCAGACTTGCTCCTGCACTGGAGACTGGAGCAAAGACACCCTCCAGCATGGAGCAAGGGAAGACACAATGCTGCCTTAACCAAGCAGTTAACGCCAGCCCACTGGGCTCCATCCGTCTCTGCAAGCTGAGACAGGAGACCTGCTGGGCTGGGCCCACACTCTCCTGAAGTTCATCCAAAGCAAKGACTCGGCAGGAGCATCCTGCAGGAGCAATAGTCAGCATGCAGTAAGGAGGACATCTCTGCCCATCTCTGCTCTGTTGGGGAGGCAACAACCCTTCTTTCTTAAGCCCGTCTTTCATCTGCTCTGCTTCCTGGAAAGGTGAAGACRTGGCACTCGCCAAGCCGGTTTGCAAAGCGCAGTGCTAGGTGAGCACACAAACACAAGCACAGCACCTTGCTGAGCGTGCAGTGTTTGCCTGCAGGTGAAGTGCCCTAGTGATAATATGAAGCCAGAAGGAAATTCGGGTAAGAGAAGCTGTGAGACAAGGCGTGCATGGCCATTAGAGCATGAAGGATAAGGAAAAGCACAATAAAAGCAATGGGCTTCAAAGCAGAGACTTCTGCAGCTTCAGAGAAACGATGGTGAAAACTATGCCAGGCACAAGTCTAAGTGAAAGAGGAACAGGACAGAGCTAGCAGATCATGTCCTAGCTCAAAGCAAGGGCCTGTGGTGCCCAGAAGGCTGGTGTGGACAGTGCATGAGCAGTGCTGTGTGGAGAGTGGAAGCAAGAGACGGGAGTCGTGAGGTGCAGCTCCTCATGTCCCTCCAGATTTGTCATGAGTTCACAGACCTCATCTGGGGCATCCCCAAGAGGTCCAAGGSAGAGGTTCAATTTCCCCCAGTACAGCTGTAAGCCAGTTTGGTAAGTGACTTCTCACCCAGGTGAGGAGCTCTTGAGGACTTCAAYATAAGAAGGGCACACACAGAAAATGGAAAACAGGTCCTGTCTCTGAGGTGTAGATGATCTTCTGAGGACAGATTCAGAAACCACCCTCATCAGGGGAAACCAGATTGGGAAGCATAAGCAATGCAGGTCTACACACAGCAAAAAATCCAAGAAGCAGATGATTTTGTCAAGAAGTATCTCCAAGCTATCTAACTTGATAACCACAACCCCTGGGTCACCACAGCGGGACGTGAGGAGCAGGAGCTCTCCGGTACTTGGACTCTTGCGAGGATTTTGTCTTGAACGAACCGTAATCCAATCGCCCAGTGYGGAAATGCGATTTGGGTGGAAATTCTGTGTGTCAGAGTGCAGCTGCACGAAAGCTGCACTGGGAAAACCACCAGCAKCGTCTGGGAAAGGCGGACAGGGCAGGAAGGCACCGCGTTGCCTGGCTGTGCCCCATGTCGCTCTGGAAGCTACAGAGGCTTTGCTGAGTGGCTCTCCAGTCCAGAGGGTTGCTAATTTGGGTTTAATGTATCAGCAAATGTTCTCTCTGGGGAGAGGCTCCGTTCAGCTCCATTTGTCACAGGACCTTGCACAGGAACCCCAGATTTGGGTCAGCAAGTCTGGAGCTCCCACAGTACAAGAAGCCCATAAAAATCACAGATAATGTTAAAAGCTGCATCAGTCCAGCCTTGCTTAAGCAACTGCTAGCAGTGCCTTGAACAGGATGTTAGGACCTCCACAGGGAGAGCGTTTTGGATACTAAAGATCTCTTTAATCTAATGGAAAAAGAAAGAGCAAGAACCACTGGTTGGAAGCTGAAGCCAGACAAATTCAAATTGGAAATAAGGAGTGGGACTGTTAACAGTGCGGATGTTTAGCTGTTGGAACAAACTCCATGGGAAGTGGCAGCTTCTCCGTCCCTCCAAACTTTCAAAACCAGAATCACTACTTTCCTGGAAGATGCTCTTGCCAAAGACAAGCCATCAGGCTCAAAAGGAGGAATAAAACAGTGAAACCCTTTGTCCTGTGATATATAGGAAGGCAGGCTAGCCAGATTAGCCAGCCCTTATCTCAGTAAGGGTTGTTTGGCCTGTGTAAAATTGCAGATTAAGGTGCAGGAATGGAGAAATATAAAGCAGGCTCTTGAAATTCGAGCATGCCTAGGGGACAGAGGAAGAGTTTGGGCAGGGAACGAGCAGGAACGAGAGGAGGACGGAGGGCGGCAGCCACTCGGTGCTGCCAGCGGCACCACGGGGACGGTCCCCAGCTGCAGTGGGGCCAGTTTGCCCTGCATCTCATGCCCGCAAGCTCGTGAGGCCATGGGACGTGCTGGAGGCTTGGCCAGCCTCATGGGCCGCGCGGTTCGGCCGCCCCGTGCAGCCCCTCCAGGCTCCTCTGCACTGGGCTGAGCATTGAGGGGCCATCCGTGTCTCTGAAGTTGGGCTGTCTCTGCTGCTTATGGCCCYCGGGAGGCTGGAAGGCCTAGGATCTGCTGTCCGAGCTTTCTGGCTGTGGCCACGTCCTCTCGCATGTGGTTAGTGCGTGGCTGAGCCAACTTGGGCAGGCTGGAAAGCTGCTTTGCTCCCTYGAGGAGGGACCGTGGGGATACGCTCCTGCACCCCCCGTAACGGCTCTGGAGACGGGACGGTCTGGTTAACAGCTCTCTCTGAAGGTCTAGCAAGTCAGCCTCCTTTCCAAAGGCTTGAGTTTCCAACAGCTCCTGCAATGAATTAAAACGTGCAGAGATAAAATGGGACTCTCTGGGCTTTCCCCGCCTCATGGAAAGCCCTCGGGCCTTCGCCGGCTCCATGGCACTCGGTAGACGTGGTTGGCCTGAGCTCTGCAAATCAGCTCACTTGAGACAACTGCCCTTCCTGCCCATAAATCAGCTCTGCTGGCCAGGAGACCTCCTGAGGTGCAGAGGTTTCTTTGTTCAGGTGCTCTGTGCCTGCAGCCCTGCCGAGGGCTGTCGTGGCAGCACCRCTTAATGGCTCTGCAATGTAATTAAAGCAAGAAAGCTCCTTTGGTCCCCCGGGGACTAATAGTGGGCCAGATTCCTTTCTGTTATTCCTCCTCTAATGTTACAGCTGCRTTGCTGGCTCTGGCCTTCCAACAGAAGCCCTCTGCAGCTCCCAAATCCAGGTTGTTTCCGAGGTTGGTCAGGGCTGTGCACCCCGCCAGGGAGCACCGCTCAYCCCTCCGAACGGAGCTTCCCTCGGCAGGCCCCAGCCCTCTCCCTGCGAGCTGGATGTGAGCTGGATGTGCCAGCTCTGCCGGGGCGAACGCCTGGCTCTGCAGGGAGCRTCCAGCACGGAGCCCTTCCCAGCAGGAGTTCCTCATGGGAGGGACCACGGCTGCCGGGCTGGGAGCCAGGGAAAGGGCATTTACCTGCGGAGAAGYCACCCTTGGTGCTGCAAAGAGAAGSGTCAGGAGCAACTTTCTCCCTGGCTGGTAGCAATGTGAACAGGAGCAGGTCAAGACGAGCAGTAGCCGCAGGTACCCAGCTACCCAGGAACAACCCCCAGGGTGATTTTAATAGGGATTCACTCATCCCAGGGGTAGGAGCCGTCCTGGAGCATCAGCCCAGCAGGAGGGAAGTGCCCGCACTCGGGTTTGTTTTCGTCACACTAGGTGCATGTGTAATTCATCATCCAAATACCCGGTGTCACCAGCTCCTGCTAGTTTATTGCAAGGAACATGATTTTGGCCCCTGTTGCAAGCAGCCTTGCGATGACGCGAAAAGCTGCAGCTGTCTTCAGTGCTTTCCTGCAATAAGCTGAATAGCTTGAGCTCCTCACGGCCTGAAGGGAAAGACTCCTTTTCCTACCCCTGGGTCATTTTCCTGGCCCTCCTTYGAACTCTCTTTGGTGTTTCCATATCCTTCCTCACGTGCAGACTTCAGAGCTGTTGTGAGCGCAGTCTCGCTAGCAAGGCATGGTAAAATCACTGCTCTCCTCCTGCAGCTCTTCAAAAAACGTCGCCGTTGGAAGTTGTGACAGTTCATTTGGCCTCCTGAGAGCAGAGGGAGGCAGGGCTGGGAGAGGCACATCCCCCAGTGCAGGCTGGAAAAGAGCCCTGGGGAGCCGTGCTGCGAGGGCGGCCGTGGCGCTCCCCAGCAGAGCCTTTGATTCGCGGCTCTCTCCGCCGTCACTGCCATAAATCCGTGGTAAAAGGCATCTTGTCAGTGGGAATGTGTAGAGGWGGAGAGAAACCCTGAGGGGGCTGCTCAGAAGAATTAAGAGCCTGAGCTAACAGGTAGCCGGCGGCCCYGAGCTCATTCATTTTCATCTGGCAACCTTGGGGCTAAACTCTGCRATCGGTGGCCACGTTTGGCCACGCTATAAAGCAGCCTGGCTTTCCCTGACTCGCAGAGGTTTCCAACAGGGGCTGAGCATTTCCTCTTCCTGGAGCACTGGGTTCTTGGGGGCTTGATTCCATGGGAAGGAGCAGCGGGAATAGCTCTGTGGAGCATCCAAAGCAGAACAGTCACCAAGACTCACATGCTGTGAACCGAGCTGGAAAGCCTGGGAGTGCTCTGGTGTGCTTCAGCCCTGGGTGGAGTGGAGGGAGACCTGTGTGCTTGATGAAGGCACAGTCTTTGGAGACMTCATCATCATCATCATCACCATCATCATCATCAGTGTCAGCTAAGAGGGTGCAGAAGGCTGTAGTCTGACCACATACAGACTCATGGGAGCCARAGGAGGCACCTGTGGTGCTTTTCCACAATGCATCCAAAAGGAGGTTGCCAAAGCTCCTTCAGAGGGTGCTGGTGGCTCTCAGCATGGGCAAAGCGATGTTCATTTTCCTCAGTCTATTCCATGGAAACAGCAATGCCACCTGGGCTCACAAAAAGCCCAGCCCAAGGCAAACTCCTGTCAGGAGAAATTTTCACCCTAATAACCAAAGCTTCACCAAGTTGCAATCAGTGCAACCCGTCTTGGTGGCGGGTGGCGGGCCGGGCAGTGCCRCTGACGGTGCCCTCTGTCCTCAGGACTACTGGCTGTCCCTGCTCTACAAGCGCCTCATCGGCCCCAAGGTGCTGGCGATCCACGTGGCCGGCCTGCAGCGGAAGCCGCGGCCGGGCAGGGTCATCCGCGACAAGCTGCGCATCTACGCCCACTGCACCAGCTCGCACAGGTGAGCGCCCGGCGCCGGGGACAGCTCCGCTTCCCGCGGGAGCGGCGCCTCCGATGACAGCGGCGCGGAGCCGGTGGCTGGGAACGGGCGCGGGCATGGGTGGGCGTGCACCGGCCCCGCAGCCGACATCAAGGGGGTGGATTTCAGCGGGGCCCGCTCGCTCGGGTTACCCGCCCGCTCCCCGCCGCGCAGCCCGGCCTGGTTATTGTTTCGCTGATAAGGTCTTTGAAAGCGGCCTGGCGAGGCGGGGGGGGGGCGGCCACCTCCTCCGCGGACACAAGTTGCTATTGTGGAGGAGGAGAGGCTGTTTCTTTACACAGTCCAGATGCTTTCAACATGCCTCCAGCTCGGTAGGAAACCTTGTCCAGGAACTGACAGGTGCAAAGTGCTTTCCAGCCTTTGTTTGGGTCTGTGCGCCCAGGCGGCCACAGAGGGGTCTGTGTCCCGACCCGTCGCTTGGGTGCCCAGGGAAGCAGGTGCCACTCAGGCAATGAGCGTGTCTCGTTCTCAGCCCAGCGAGGCACCAGGGGAGCCATCCARCACTCCCTCAAGGTTTTGTTGTAGAGCTGGGCAAGGGGTAGGCAGGAGCACCCCAAGGAGGGCAGGTGGGATGGGGATGTGTCCCAGCAGCTGCATGCGGATGGTTCTTGCACATGGACCCCCCAAATCCTCCTCTTGGAGGGAACGCTCCSGCAGCACGTGCCCCTCGCTCTGCCCCCTTGCAGCCACAACTACGTCCGCGGGTCCATCACCCTCTACATCATCAACCTGCATCGCTCCCGGAAGAAAATCAAGCTGGCGGGGACGCTGCGGGATAAGATCGTCCACCAGTACCTGCTGCAGCCCTACGGCAAAGACGGGCTCCACTCCAAGTAAGGGCAGCGCTCGGGCCGGGGCTGCCACCCAGCCCCGAGCCCCCGGCGCCGCTGATGCTCCTGTGCTCCCGCAGGTCGGTGCAGCTCAACGGGCAGCCGCTGGCCATGGTGGACGACGGCACCCTGCCCGAGCTGAAGCCTCGGCCGCTGCGGGCCGGCCGCACGCTCGTCATCCCCCCGCTCACCATGAGCTTCTACGTGGTGAAGAACGTGAACGCGCTGGCCTGTCGCTACCGGTAGCCCGGCCGGCAGGGGAGCCGCCGGCCCCGCTCCCGCCGCCCGTGTGCTCCCCGGGACATGCTGCTTCCTCGGGCACCTCGCGCAGACGCGGCGCCGTGGCATGGCCTTGGTGTGCCCTCGGCCGCACTGCCGGAGCTGCTCCGCCTGGCCACCCCCAGGCCGGAGCCATGCGGCAGCAGCGAACGGCAGCAGCAGAGTCTGGGCAAGCTGCTCGCCCCACCGTCACCTCCGCAGCCAGCGCCCGCCGGCTGCCCGGGACAGCGGAGGTGCTGGGCCCTGCTCCGGGATGAGGGCAGGGCTGTGGGAATACAGCCCAGGACTGGCACCATCTCCATGTCCCACCTCACTGCCCCTCGGGGTGTCCCCTCTGCACTAGCCAAACCTGCTCCATCCCTGCAGCTTCCCAAGGAGCTTGGACCAAGTCAGGCCGTGCTGTCCGGGCCTGACAGCCAATTCCGATGCCAGCGGCTCCCCCAGCAGCTCTTCCAGCCCGGCTGCCAGCCGGGAGAGGGCGGCATGGCAGCGGTGCTGGGGAGCGGTGAGTGCTCCGCTCGCAGCCGCCTCTCCCGGCGCACAAGCGCATGGAAGCAGCTCCCTCTGCTGCCATGCGCCTGCTGCATCCCATGCGGGGATGCTGCAGCTGCGGGGCAGTGTGGGCGGCTGGACACACGCTGCCTGGCCCCAGGGTGGCCCAGGGCTCCCACGGCGGGGAACAACCTGGTTCACGAGGGGCAGACACTGGCAGGGCCTCTCTAGCAAGGGGCAGGGATAGGGGGGCAGCGGGTCGCAGTGTCTGGGCTCCTGTTGAGGCTTGTGGGCAGTGCYCTGGGGGCCTGTCACTGTAAATGTTAATTATTAACTTATACGCCCTGGAGAGGGGCTCTCCGGCATCTGGAAGTGGGGGCCAGAGGGACCCACGGGACCCCAGAGCAGAGGAGCACTCACTGCGGCCCCTGCTCTTCCTGGCGTGGGAAAGGGCTGCAGCTCAGGTGTTAATATTTCCTTCCAGAATAGAGATTTTATTACGAGCGTGAGCAGCCAGGGCCTGCTGAGAGCCGGGAGCTGCCACGCAGGGAGATGATATTTGAGATGTAATAAAGTTGGTCTGTCACCCCAGCCGGCCTCTTCGTGCGTGCGGCAGCAGGGCGGGTTGGGCTGCGGGTGCCCCGCCAGGTTGGGCCGGTCCCGGCGGTCCCGGCTGCTGCACCGCAGCACCGTGCAGCGCTGTGCAGGGCACGCCCGGTCGGGCCGTGCCGGGCTGTGCCAGGCTGCAGCGTGCAATGCCGTGCCATGCCGGGCGGGTGCAGCACCGTGCCGTGCAATGCCGAGCCGTGCAGCGGCGAGCCGGGCCGGGCCGAGCTGTGCAGCGCTGGCCGGGCCGTACGGTGCCGTGCCGCACCGTGCAATACCGAGCCGTGCCGAGCCGGGCGCGCAGCAGCGGGCCGCGCAACGCCGGGCCGGGCCGCGCCGCGCCGTGCAGCACCAGGCCGGGCCGGCGGGGGCGCTGCGGCGGTCACGCGGGGGCGGTCACGCGCGGCCGAGCAGGAAGCGGCGCGCGCGGGCGCGGCCGCGGGATCCCAGCGCTGCCGTCGGGGCCGCTCCGTGCCGGGCCGCTCCGTGCCGGGCCATGCGCTGCGTGCTCATCGCCAGCGCCGCCGCCGAGCTGCTCTTCTACTGGGCCGATGCAGCCTTCGCCCGGCGCCTGCGGCCCCCGCCCGGGCCCGGCGCCGCGCAGGTGGGCGGCGTGGGGCAGCGCCGGGCTGCCGTGCGGGAACGGCCTGCGGGAATGCAACGTGCTGCAGAGGGGCCGGAACGGGGCAGCGGGGGGCAATGTGTTGCAGAGGGAATGGAACGGGCAGCGTGGGACAATGTGTTGCAGAAGTGCTGGAAGGGTGCAGTGTGGGGCAGGACCGCTGGGATGCAGTGTGAGGCGGTGCAGTGTGTTGCAGTGGGGCTGGGGGAGTGCTGCATGGGGCAGGGCTGGTGCAGAGCAGGGCAGGGTGCCGTGCAGGGCACAGCCGCAGTGGTGCTGCAGCTCAGGGCAATAGTGTGGGGCAGGGCAGGGGCTGCAGGGCAGCACGTGGGGCAGGAGGAGTGACCCTGTGCGCTCCAGGCCCCGGCGCTGGAGGACAGCCTCAATACGCTCTTCGCACCCCTCATCATCTCCTGCACGGCGCTGCTGGAGAAGCTCTCGGACACCTACACGTGCTTCACCACGGAGCCCGGTAGCCACCTCCACGTCCTGCACATGGTAGGGCCGGCGGCTCAGGGAGCACTTGGGGGACACCGGGGGGTGCCGGCACCCCTGGCTCCACTGTTGTCTGCAGTTCGGGGACTGCCTGTACATCGCGGTGAACGGCGATGGCACCGAGAGCGAGGACGAGCTGCGGCGCAAGCTCTTCGTGCTGCGGCGCCTCGTGGACGCTCACTGCGGCCTCGTCACGCTGGACTCCCACCTTGTCCGCAAGGAGTGAGCCAGGGCAACAGGGCGGCCCCTGTCCCTTGCAGCAGGACCCTCTGCACTGCACGGGGCCGAGGAGCCTCCGTCGAGGCCACCTCAGCCTCTGCGGCCATTGCAGGTTGCGGCCGGCCGATTCGGAGCAGCGCGAGCGCATTTGGGGGCTGCTGCGGGGCCTGCTGGACACCTACAGCCGCCTGCGGGAGGAGGACCAGAGCTTTGCCGTGGAGGTACCGTGCCCATGGCCCTGCTCGCGTTGCAGGGGGTGTGCCGGCCAGCTTGCTGCCAGGCTGCACGGGTCGCTGTGGGAAAGGCTCTTGCGGGGAACACTTTGGGGCCATTCCCCCCGGCAGCGGTGGGTGGACATGGGGCAGCTGCAGGCGGCTCAGGGCTGTGCTGGCCGCCCGCGCCGCAGGCCGTGGAGCGGCTGATCCACCCGCAGCTGTGCGAGCAGTGCATCGAGTTCCTGGAGCGGCACGTGGTGCAGCACATCAACGGCAGCCCCGAGCGCGGCGGCGACGACGTGGCGCACGCCTTCCTCCTGGTGAACACCAAGCTGCTGGCCTTCTACTCCAGGTGAGCCCTGCCCGGCGCCCGCGCCGCGCCGCACCGCCACCCGCCTCACCCCTGCGCTCTCGCCCGCAGCCGCAACGCCAGCTCCATCCGCCCTGCCGACCTGCTCGTCCTCATCCTCCTCGTGCAGGACCTCTACCCCAGCCAGGGTGCCGAGGAGGAGCTCAGCCCCCAGGTGCTCCAAAGCTGGGGATGGGGAGGGAACTGATGTGCTGAGGACTGTGGCTTGATGTTTTTCTCTTCTTGGAAGCCTGTAGCAGGGAAGATATTCCTGCAGGTACCCCAAAGAAGCGAGAGCATCCCCATGAGCAGCACCAGCTCCCGCGTGGCCACAGGGAAGGAGTCGGATGATCAGGTGTGTGTGGGTAGCTGTCACCAGTGCCACGAGTTCGGGGCTCAGGGGGCCTGGGCTCCCCCCTGCAGAGTCCTGGCTGCAGTCCTGGCTCAGCCAGGCTTCCTCGCTGGCAGGACACAGACGACCTCTCCACACCAGAGGTGTTCTACACACCGGAGCCCTCGCCGGGCAGGCACAGCACCGGTGAGTGCCTGGCTGGGCAGGGCAGGGGCCGGGCGCTCTGTGGGGCGCTAGGAGGGAGCCTGAGCGTCCGCTGGTGCTGAAACCAACTGCAGGCAGCGAGAGCTGGTCGGAGGGCGCCGAGACACCGGGCGCTGGAGATGCAGACAGTGCTGATGTGCAGGTGAGCACGGGGTGCTGCCGTCCCTCCCGGGTCTGCCTCCTCCCTGTCCCTCCTCCTGCTCTTTGCTGTCTCTGTTCCTCGTCACATATCCCTTGCTGTGCTGGGAATACCCCAGGCCCTGGGCTGAGGAGATGCCCCACAGCCCCCCAGTTGTGCATCTTGCTGTCACTGGGGTGCCCTCTATGGGGTGGTCTCCAGGCAGGGGTCTGGCCCCATCCAGGCCTGTTAGCAGCACAGGGGGTCGAGTTTGTCTCAGAGCAGTCTAGTGTCTCCCTCTGCTGCTCCTGGGGCTTCTGAGCTCCTACCTTGCTTGGTGCTGTGGCAGCTCACAGACACTCCACAAGCCAAGGCGTTTGCCAGCTCTGTCTTTGCAAGCAGCTTGCACTCGATCTGTTGCTTTTGGGAATTCCTGAGTGCTTCCCTCAATGCTCTCTTGCTGCATGGTCCTTCCAGCTCCATCCATTCAGTTGTGCCCAGTTGCAACTTTCCGGGCATTGCTGCCACCTCTACAGCTCTTCGGAAGGTCCTGGGTTGGTGCCTTGTCCCAGCGAGGGGACTGAGCAGCTCTCCTCTCTCCCCAGATGGCAGAAGACTTGCTGCAGACTTTGGGGCCTCTGGTCCCCGAGGCTTCAAACCCCAGAAGGGTTTTCCTGGACGCCAACCTGCCGGAAGGCTACTGCCCCATGCTGCCCCACACCATGCACTGCCTCCCGCTCTGGCCGGGCATCACTCTCGTTCTGCTGAGCAAGGTGAGCTGGCTCTAACGTGGAGCGAGTGCAGCAGGGCTGTGTCCTGCCTGACCCACCCGTCACTCCCTCGGCAGGGCCCCATGACCCACGTGGCCGTCACCCTGCACCAGCTGCTCGATGGTTTCTTGGTGCTGGAAAAGAAGCTGGAAGAKGGGCAGGAGGTGGGAGCCCCGCGTACCTTCCCCTTCCTGGCGGAGCTGCGGCAGCGCATGGACAAGTTTGTGAAGAAGCTGGGCGGGCAGGACATCCAGGTGGGAGAGGGGCCTCCAGGATCCTGTCCCGCTGTTGCCTGCACAGCCAGGCACTGAGCTGTGTCCCTGTCCAGTTGCAGAACGCCTGGGTGGAGTTCAAGAACAAGATATTCTCCCGGAGCGAGCCTGGGAGCTTGCCGGAGTGAGTACGGGGCAGCCTGGAGTCTCTGGGGTAGGTGGGGGTCTTCTCCATCCCAGGGGGAGCAGAGGGCTCTCCCCACGGTGCTGGGGTGCACCCGCGGCGCAGTGAGGCCAGAGCCAGCTCCGTCCCTGTCTCCGGCTCAGGGTGCTGCAGGCGCTGGCCAACGTGAAGCGGCAGCTCTGCTCCCTGTATCGCCAGCTCTTCCTGACCTCGGCCAGCCAGAGCCTGTCCCAGGGCCTGCGGGACCGTGCCCAGAGGCTGATGAGGTGGGTGCAGGGGCAGCCGCCACCTCCGTGGCCGCCCTGGGCGCTGCGCTGGGGGCTGCCTCTCACTGCAGCTCTTCTCGGCAGGGAGAAGCTGCTGGACTGGAGGGATTTTCTGCTGGTGAAGAGCAGGCGCAATATCACCATGGTGTCATATCCGTCCCGGAGCCGGGTGGGCTGGGGGCACAGCCCTGGGGCGAGACCCCCTCTAGGGAGGGCAGAGGTGGGAGCAGGAAAGCCCTGTCCTCCTGGTGCCGGGCACGAGGGAGTGAAGTGGAGTGGGCAGAGGTGGTTTCCACAGCTTGAGGTCTGTCCTGGAAGAGCACCAAAGTCAYTGGATACCCTTAACTGGACCTACATACCTGGAGGACTTTCCTGGCCTGGTGCACTTCATCTATGTCGACCGCACGGCTGGGCAGATGATGGCACCGTCACTTAGCGTGACGGAGAAATCCAGCTCGGAGCTGGGCAAGGGTCCCCTCGCGCAGTTCATCAAGAGCAAGGTACGGGGAGGAYGCAGCACTGCACTGCCCAGCTGGGCTGCAGGGATGGTCTCCTCAGAGCTGGACTGGCCGCTGTGCGTGGGAGAGGGTGGCTGCAGGCAGCCCTCTGGAAGGGCCCTGCCTCTGGAGGGTTTTCCTGGGGCTCCGGGGCTTGGAGTGGGATGGGGGCAGTAGGAGGGGTCCGTGGGGGTTGGAGGGCCGGCTGCTGAGGCTCGCTGTCCCCAGGTGTGGTCCCTGATCAGGCTGGCCCGGCGTTACCTGCAGAAGGGCTACACGACGCTCATGCTGCAGGATGGCGACTACTGCTGCTCCTACTTCCTCTGGTTCGAGAACGAGCTGGTATGTGGGGCTGAGCCCCACTGCCCCCGCGTCCTCCTCCGGGCAGGGAGCAGGGCTGTAGATAGCCCTGTGCTCTGGCTCCCTAGGCTGCCTGGCTTGTCCCCTCCCCGGTACAGTCCTGCCCTCTGCTGTCACCATTCCCCAGGGCTGCAAGCTGGAGGTGATAGAGATGCCGGTTCTCTCGGATGACTCTGCTCCCATCGGGATGTTGGCAGGAGACTACTACAGGTGAGCGTGGGGTCCCAGCCCTGCAGCCTGGCTCCGGGCACGTGCTGGGCCCCGTTGGTGATGCTGTGCTCATGGGAACCCAGGTTGCAACAGTCCAGCCTCGTGCTGAGGTCTGCCTGGCACCGTCCTCACCAAGGGGCTTAAAGGGGATGGGGGATAGAGAGCGGCTGCTGTTGCGTGTGCCCTGCAGACCCCCCGTCTGTTCCCCGCAGGAGGCTGCTGCGCTACTACAGCAAGAACCACCAGGCAGAGGTGGTGAAGTGCTACGAGCTGCTCACGGTGCACCTGGGCATCATCCCCTCGGAGCTCGTGGTCCAGCAGGCCAGCGACCTGGCCCGGCGCCTCTGGGAGCCCTCRCGCATCCCCCTGCTCTGAGCCCAGCTCCGGGCTCCGTCGGGTGCCGGATGGGATTAAAGCGGTGTGGGTACCGGTGCCGCTGCCTCCATGCCTGCCCTGGCACCGCGAGCGGCCGGCCGTGCTGCGGGCAGCCTCGCGCGGCACGCGCGCCCAGGCCTGGCTTTGCACTGCCCCAGCACGCTTGGCTCGCGCCCAGCAGCCTCCGGCCACGGGGTGAGAGTGGGGCCAAGAGGATTTTGGCAAATCCCGTCCCTGTTGAAAAGTACGTTTCCAAAGYGGGATTTATAGTGTCGGCTTGGCCTCGCCGCCGGGCTTTGGCCAGAGAAGGAGGTGTCGCAGCCAAACCAGCACGGAGGTGCTCTGCAAAGGGCACAGCTTGTGGTTCCCATGCACGTTGCTCTCCCAAGCATGTGCAAAACGTGGGGTGCAGTGGGAGGAGGTGTCCGGGGTCCCCAGGGCCTCTCACCAGGGAGGAGGCTGTGCCCAGGACGGTGCATGGGGCCGGGCCTGCCCATGCAGCCCCACGCTGCTCACTGCGGCTGGAGGCTGCTGGGGAGGAGCACTGGACCACAGCAAGGCCTTTGCCCCATCCCGCTCTGCAGGAATTCGCCCTGCTGGGCAAAGCACGGAAATTCCTGCTTTTCAGTATCCGGGGCAGGACCCTCCGGAGCTGTCTGTGTTCTCGCAGCTCCCAGCACTCCGCTTGGCACTGTGCAGCAGCAGGGGCAGAGCTGCCAGGCAGTGCCAGGCTGAGCTCCTTGCAGGGCTCCTGGCACCCCTGCCAGCTCCCGGCAGGCAGCACCACCGCCGCGCGGAGCCCCCTGCTCCCGTGCGGAGCCCCTGCTCGGGCCCCGTGCCCACCGCCGTGCCCGGAAGCCTGGCACAAAGCGCCGCCACCAAAGCAAAGTCCAGGCCGTGCAGCTGGGCTCTGGCGCGGCCATGGCAGCCTGGCGGGGCGCGAGCCTGTGCGTGCGCTGCTGTCCTGCGCGGGGCCGGCGCCTGGCGCACGCGGGGCCGGCGCCGCGGCTGCAGCGCGAGTACGACGCCGTGGTGATCGGGGCAGGTAACGGCCTGGTGGGGTGGGCGCGGGGTGAGACCTCCCCGGGCTGCAGGAGTGCTCATGCGGGGCGCTGCTCACGCCGCGCTCTCTCGCAGGGCACAACGGGCTGGTGGCGGTGAGTGCCGCGAGCGCGCCGGGCTCTCCCGGCATCATGCACGGCCGGGCGCTGGGTGCTGCATGCCCTGCGGGGAGGGGGCTGCATTGCACGGCTGGCACTGTGACATGCCGCTCCGGGCCGCTCGGCACAGGCTGCCTACCTGCAGCAGGCCGGGCTGCGCACCGCCGTGCTCGAGAGGCGCCACGTGCTGGGCGGTGCCACCGTCACGGAGGAGATCGTGCCAGGTAGCCCTGGCCCCCGCCCCGCGTTGCCCACCGCCACGTGGCCCGGGGCGCCTCTCACCTCCCCGCGTCAGCCAGGTTTCAAGTTTTCCCGGGCGTCCTACCTGCTCAGCCTGCTGCGYCCGCAGATATACAGCGAGCTGGAGCTGCAGGTACGTGGCGCCCATCCCCGTGGCCTCTTGGTGCAGGCCATTCCCTGCGTGCCGTGGTGGGAAACACGGGTGCTGCTCTGCGTGCCTTGCAGCGGCACGGCCTGCGGGTGCTGCCGCGGGACCCCTACTCCTTCACGCCGCTGCTGGAGGCCGGGAGCCGCCCGCGCTCCCTCCTCCTGGGGCACGACCTGGCGCAGAGCCAGCAGCAGATCGCCCAGTTCTCCCCACGGGATGCTCAGGTACCACCGGCACGGCCCGGCAGCGGCCAGGTGCCAGCTGGCCCTGCAGGTGACCAGTGCCGCAGGCCGTGGAACACGCCGATCCCGGCGGTCCCCTCTGCTCCCTCGCACTCAGCGGCCGCCTCCGCTGGCGCTCGCCTGTGCCCTTCCAGGCTTATCCCGCGTACGAGGCCTTCATGGGAGGCCTCGTGGCTGCCATGGAGCCGCTGCTGGATGCTGCCCCCGTGGACCCCGCTGCGCTGGGCCAGGGCTCCCTGCTGCAGCGGCTCAGGGCGCTGCGAGCCCTGCGGCCCCTGCTGCGGGCAGGTACGGGCGGCAATGGGGCCCCGGGCTGCRGCGCGCGCAGGGGCACGTGCCCTGCAGGAGCCCCGGGCTGCGCCACCTTGCTCTGCCGCTGCCCCAGTGCAGCGGGGTCCCTTCTCACCACTGCCCCCCGGCAGGGCTGGCCATGGGGCGGCAGCTGCCCCGCTACTACGAGGTGCTCACGGCCCCCATCTCCAAGGTGGGTGCTGGCACGGGGGGGGGCAGAGCCACCCCCAGGGCCGGGCAGGGGCTGCTGAGCCCTCCCGGCTCCTGCCTCTCGTCCTGCTGCGCCAGGTCCTGGACCAGTGGTTYGAATCGGAGCCGCTGAAGGCCACCCTGGCCACGGACGCGGTGATCGGCGCCATGGCGAGCCCGCGGAGCGCCGGCAGCGGCTACGTGCTGCTGCACCACGTGCTGGGCACGCTGGAGGGCCGCCGCGGCGCCTGGGGCTACGTGGCGGGCGGCATGGGCGCCCTGGCCGCGGCCATCGCCGGCGCGGCGGCCGCCCGCGGGGCGCACGTCTTCGCCGACAAGGTAGCGGGTCTGCGCGCGGAGCCGGCGCCCTCGCCGTGCTCCCGGGATATCCCCACGGMCTGCTCCCATCGCAGCCCGTGAGCCGTGTGCTGCTGGGCCGGGACGGGCGGGCGCAGGGGGTGGCCCTGCGCGACGGCACGGAGGTGAGGAGCAGAGTGGTGCTGTCCAACGCCTCCCCGCAGCTCACCTTCCTGGAGCTCACGCCCCGGGTACGGACACGGGCACGCTGATCCCTGGGCTGTGCCGGGATCGGGGATGAGGCCAGGGTTGGTGCGCAGCCCTGCACCTTCCCGTCACTGCCGCCCCCGGCCTCTCCCATCCCAGGAGCGGCTGCCAAAGGACTTTATCCAGCGCATCCAGCAGATTGACACGCGCTCCCCGGTCACCAAGATCAATGGTAGGTACCAGAGGGGCCCATCTCCACCACGCTGGCCATGGGGAGACCACAAAGGTCTCGTCTGCGGCCGGGGCACCCCCTTCCCACCCCATCTCTCCCTTCCCACACCGCAGTGGCCGTGGATCGGCTGCCCAGCTTTCTGGCCGCCCCCAATGCCCGCGATGACCAGCCCCTGCCCCACCACCAGTGCTCCATCCACCTCAACTGCGAGAGCAGCGAGCTCCTGCACCGGGCTTTCGCCGAGGCCAGCGACGGGCGCCCCTCCAGCAGGTACCTCCCTGCTCCGCTCACGTCAAGGTGCTGGCGATACCGCTGCCGCGGGCCCGTGACGCTCATGTGCGCCCACGCCAGGCCCATGATYGAGCTGTGCATCCCGTCGGTGCTGGACCCGGGGCTGGCGCCGCGCGGCTGCCACGTCGTGTCGCTCTTCACGCAGTACACGCCGCCGGTGCTGGCGGGCGGGCGGCCCTGGGACCAGGCGGCCCGCGACGCCTACGCCGACACGGGTAGGTGGCACCGGCGCCGGCGCCGCGGCCGCCCGTGGGCACCGCAGCCTGCCCYGCGCTGCCTCCCGCCGCAGTGTTCGACTGCATCGAAGCCTACGCCCCCGGCTTCAAGGCCTCCGTCGTGGGCYGGGACGTGCTGACGCCGCCAGACCTGGAGAGGATCTTCGGGCTGCCCGGCGGGGTGGGTACCGGGCTGCCGGCGGGTGGGTACCGCGGGGCTCGGCTCTGGGCCTCGCTGCCACGCGCATTGCGGCGGGATGCGGCCACGGGCTGCGCTCTGCTTCCAGAACATCTTCCACGGAGCCATGTCTCTGGACCAGCTCTACTTTGCCCGCCCGGCGCCGGCCTATTCGGGCTACCGGTGCCCGGTTCCAGGCTTGTACCTGTGCGGCAGCGGAGCCCACCCTGGTGAGCGGGGCTGCGAGCCGGGAGCACAGGGGGCTGCAAAGGCAGCGCAGGGCATGGGGCAGCCCCTGCCCTCAGGGCTGGCGTGGGCTCCTGGGGTCGGAGCTGCCCCTGCTCCCGTCTGCTGCCTTGCAGGAGGGGGAGTGATGGGGGCCGCAGGACGCAACGCAGCCTGCGTGGTCCTTGAGGACTTCAAGCGGCTGCAACGGCAGCGGTGATGCCAGCGTCACCATCRCAGGCTTGCGGCATATCCACGGAATCACCTTGATGCACTCGGGAAAATAAATACGGACGCAGGCTCTGCATTTAGYGCTTCCTTTGTGGCTTTTCAGCTCCTCGTTGTGGCTCGTGCTGCACCCCTGGGCCTGCTGGTCCTGGGGCCACCTCKGTGCTCAGACCATGTGCAGCTGTGGGCACCACGTCTGGCTATGCAGCCAGCCCCAGGGGACCTGCCACAGGAATAATGTCCTCGGTCACCTCCTCCACCACCAAAGCGAGCCTGGGGGGTTAGAACCTCCCCAAGTGGAGGAGAGGATGAGGAAGGTGGACAAAGCCTTCTTTGCTCCCAAAGTGTCCCTTGCTGCCCTGATAGTCGGGTGAGCAGCTCAGCAGCTGTGAGGGGCCAGGAGCCTGGCTCTGAAGGACACTGTCACAGCAGGGGCCGGTGCAGAGCAAGGCTTTTAGTGAGCAGTGAGTGAGTTTTCCTGCATCGGGGGTCCTGCCTCTCCTCCCTTGAGGATGCCCCAATGCTCCCACCCTCCTTGCCGCTTACAGCAGGGACCGAGCGCCAGGAGGAGCACGTTTGTCCCTTCACGTCCCCCCGCCAGCCTCAGCCCAGCGCCCGTGTCCCGACGGAGCACGTGGCACTGCAACACGCTACGTGGGAGCAGGGAGCGCGCAGGGCAGCCAGCGGCGGGAGCTGCCCCGGCCGCCGCTGGGAGCCACTTACTGAAGATTACAGAGCTCGCATCCTCTCCCAGCCCTCTTCCTCCGGACACAATGCCCCCCATTCAGCTCCTGGCCTCTCCTCCGGCCGGGCCCTAAATAAAGTGCTCCCAGGCTGAGCTGTTGCACCTGAGCTGCCTAAATCAATATTGACCGGCCCAGAATAGCCCCGCAGCCCTCTGAGAATAGCCCCGCACGCCCACCTCGCTGCCCACAGCTTCCCGCGCACGGGGCTGCCCTGCAGCACGGAGCCCCTATTTTTGGCAGCCCCACGGGCTGCAGGTGCCGGTGCCCAGCAAGGCCAGGGGGGTGGCAGTGGTGGAGGGATGTGGCAGGGAGGGACCCCCTGCGCGCAGGGAGAGCCCCGCTGCCCTCCTCTTCCTCCCACCCATCCCGGGCACGGAACGGCTGTGAGGAGCGGAGCAGCAGGGCARAGGAGCCAGGAATGCTGGCGGGGCRTYTTGGAAGGATGCGGGGGGAGATGTGTGCCCGGCTGCACACTCAGGTAATTGAGCTCCAGAAGGGCGAGACAGGGATGAGTCACGGCCTCCGCTGCTGGACCCGGCCCTTCCCCAGGGCTCCCCTTGGCCGGCTGCCCCGTGGCTCCGTTCGGCTCCGTGCAGCCCCTTTGTGGCATCCCCTGCTCTGCYCTGTGTCCTGCACCCTGCACGCAGGGACAGGAGCCCCGTTGCAGCACATGGCCCCGGTCACGGCACTCTGGGACCCACTGGTGCTCCCAGAGGGCCAGTGGCCAGAGGGCGCCCAGTGCAGCTAAAGGGCTTTGCAGGGAGAGCCGGTGGTCCCAAGGCACCCCAGCCTGCACCGAGACGCGGGGCACAGCTGCCCATGGCAGCACGTGGACGCGGTGCCGCTGCAGCACGTGGCCCTGCTGTCCACGCGGCGCCCTCCGGCTCCGGCGCARCCTTCCCAGCGCGCTCCTCCCCGGCCACCGGGCTGGCGGCGCTCCAGCCTCCATGCTGTGCGGGAAAGCCCRGAGAGCCACCAGCCACATTCCCAGCTGGAGCCTATGGCCAGGATGAGGGTGCCCCCAGGACACCGTGCATGGCACCCTGCTTCCCAGAGCTTGTCCCCTGCGTGGCCCTGGAGGTGCTGGAGGTCCCCGCGGGATGCGGCAATGAGCTCACRGGCTATTCCGGGCCATGTTGTTCCTGGCTCCTCCTGGCAGGATCCGGCTCCTTCAAGGCCAGACAAACAGCCCAGTAGCCACCGGCACATTCCTGGCCRGCCGTGGCCGCAGCGAGGGGACGGGAGCTTCCTGTTTATCCCCTTCCCACGTGCCGGGAGCAGGGGCAGTGCATCCCCCTGGGAGCYGCCGCTGCCTGGGAGCAGGTTAAGGGGGGACAGCCAGGACACCCCCTGCCCCGTGCCCTGCTGGGGAGGGGGACAGTGCCCAGGGAACCCCGCAGCGYAGGGACAGCCCCGACCCCCAGCAGGAGCCGGTGCCCAGCCCGGCATCCTGGCCCTTCCCCGTGCTTGCATGGGGGGCAGCACCCCATGCTGGGCTTGCACAGGGGGGCAGGRGGCTCCTTTGGGACATCCCTCCCGCAAGGGTTGGAGTTTGTCACTTCCAGGAAACCGCTGGCACGGAGCCACCCCCCACACACACACGCAGTGGGGTGATGGATTCCAGGGGGCTTGGGGAGGCAGTCCCAGTGGGGGTTCCTGGGATCATTGCAGGGGGGATCAGGCCCAGGGCAGGCAGGGGGGACCCCAGTGCTGCGGGACCCCGAGTGCACGTCCCGTCCRGGGCAGAGCAGGACACGGGGTGCGGGGCTGGGCAGCGCCTGTCAGGCGGGGCTGGGCCGGGCCCCACGGCGCTGCACTGCCCGCCACCCCCGCGCCGCTCCATAAAAGCCGCAGGCAGGCACTGCTGGGGCCGCTGGAGCGGGAGCGGAGCCGGAGCCAGAGCCGGAGCTGGAGCCAGGCTGCCGGCCGCAGGCAGGAGCCCAGCAGCCAACCCTGCGCCTGCCCCACGCCTGCCCCACTGCCGCCTGCCGGGTGAGTGTGCTGCCTGGGATGGCCAAGGGCATCCCTGAACTGTGGGATGCTGGTGGGGACATAGGAGATGGGGTGACCCCCTGCTACGGTGATGGGAGTAGGGATATGGGGGGAGAGGGGCCAGGTTGGGGAGAGGAGCTGGGGGTGGTGTGACCCCCTCTCACGGCCCTAAACAGGTAGCAGTYACAAAGCAGGGGGTGCAGGACAGGGTTTGCTGGTGGGGTACCCGGGTGCAGGCTGGGCACGGGGAACCGTGGTGGCCTGTGTCCCACGGATGCCCTGGGACAGGGGCAGTTGGAATTGGGGCCGATGCCCGGAGTGGGAGTCGCTGGGGCTGTGCGTGGCAGTGCCCAGTGCCTGCACCCTGAGCAGCACACGGATGGGGCAGGCACTGCTGGCTGGGGACATGGGGACCTCGCGAGGCCAGCCCGTGTCCTGAGCTGTGCCCCTYCCGGGGACAGGCGCGCAGCAGCCCCGGGGCTCAGCACGACGCTCTCCCCAGGCACCGAGCCCTGAGGACGTGTGATGGCCACGTCGGGTGCCACCAGCCCTGCGCTGCTGCCGCCGCTGCTGCTGCTGCTGCTGTGGCGGGCGGCCCCCAGCACGCAGGACGCGGCCCCCCCGCAGCTGCGGCTGCGGCTGGCGGGGCCGCGGGGGCCCCAGGGCGAGGGCCGCCTCGAGGTGCTCTACCAGGGCCGCTGGGGCACCGTGTGCGACGACGGCTTCGACTTCCGCGTGGCCACCGTGGCCTGCCGGCAGCTGGGCTACGCCGCGGCCATCACCTGGACCCACAGTGCCACCTACGGCCAAGGGGAAGGTGGGGGGCAGGGGAGCACGCGGGTGCTTGGGGGGCAGCCACTCGTGCTAGTGCTGGCTGGAGCTGCGGGTGCAGCGGGTAGGGGGGCACAGCAAGAGCTGGAGCCCCACGGTGAGAGGGAGGGTGTGGGGGGCCGAGCACAGCAGCACCCGCCRGCCCCACACGCCCCTCTCCTCGGCCAGGCCCCATCTGGCTGGACAACGTGCAGTGCGCGGGCAGCGAGGCCTCGCTGGGCGAGTGCGCGCACAACGGCTGGGGCGCGAGCGACTGCCACCACGGCGAGGACGC